GTTCGAAGCTACCAACCCAAACCCACACAAAACCCGAGCAGTCCGTCAGTCAATTAGAGTCCATCAGTTCTGGCGGTTTTTGTCGCTGCCCTCCTCGAGCGAGAAGGACAATTGAGACCTCGCTGTGTGGCAAGCAAAAAGGGGGCGGACTTTCAGAGACTCAAACACATGTTTGACAAGTTCTCTGTGAAACACAGCGCTAAAGCCGTTTCAAAAGCTGAGAGAAGAAGAGTTGTGAAGTGTACTTGCAGAAGACTTCTGAAACATGGGACAGGTTCAGCGACATCTGCATGACTATACTTTGACTTTGCCTTAGCCTTAGCTCCCGGCTCACCGTTGGCACCTGGCACAAGCGAAACACACTGCAGTGGTCAGCGCAGTTGACCCCAAGACCCGGAGGGCCTGGAGAAAGTATGTTTTATTGAAGGCCATGGGCTTGGACACCAAACTTTTGCTAGAGGCCAGCTAGATTGCGAGAACAAACAGGCAGCAGGTGTGGGACATGCATGATTGTTCCGATTTGTGCCACGAGCATGGAAGAACCAAGCCACCCGCGCATGTCCGTGTGGATGATCAAGGAACGTGCGACCAAACTATAGTCGAGTTCCCACAAAACCTGTGAAAAGCATGGAATACAATGGAGCCGAGGTCTTCCGTCTGCCACAACCCGCAAACTCACCTGTCTTACCCTGACAACAACGGACTTCCGTTTGGTTCTGTCCTCCGTCCAACCAGTGATTTTAGAGGTGTCCATGTCGGATGCCACGGCCTCTGATCTGTTTGATGGAGGCCTCGCCCACCTGGAAGAGCCCAGGATGACACCGTTCTGCAGGGGAACACCCCTGTTTTCACCCTTTTCTCCTACCCGCTCATTGACAAGACCAATTTCCAACAATCTCCATTAGCAAGAATGACTCTACCTGAAATCATGGCAATTCTCAAGAATGTTGAACAATTGGTCAGGCTTCCCCTCAAAAGCAAATCTTTTGTTGAGTGAAGGTGTCGTCTGTTAAGCGGTGACCGCTTCCCTCGTGCGTTCATCTTAAAAAGCACCTGCCATGCAAAGCCCCGGTTTGCCCCGCAGCCCAGGTCAGCTCACATGCAAAAAAGGATTCACTTACCTCCCATCTTTTCCATTGAAACAAAGCAACGCACGAAGCACACAACTATCACAAACTCTTGCCTGTGCAAAGGGACTGAGGACCGACATGAGACCTTGGGAGGAAGGGTGCAGCTGGCTGTGTCTTTTGAAACCTTTGAGTCTAAGCTTGACAAGTCAATTTGTAAGCTTCTTGTCAGTGCCTTCGACGCTTGACACTTTGACACTTGACACTAAACGAACACGCTCCCTCCTGGTAGCCCAGTGTGCCACAAATGCCCATCTCCCTTGTTCCATCCACCCGAATTGGTTTGTTGAGATTCATAAGCATGCGACTATCCGTCTCACGCCACACCCACATCACCAACATCGCTTTCGAGCCCTTCATGATGATGGAAAGTCTAGCGACTTGCAGCTTGGTGTGAAACCACCCACCCAACACCCACGGAGGACCTTCGGACGTTCAGGTATAACGGTATAACATAGATTTATATTGTAAAACATTACATAGAGTCCCACACAGCATGTTGCTCATGTCAGTCGTGTCATACCTTCCAAGGCTACTTCTCGGGACGGGGTATGTTCGTAAGACATCTTGAACATTTCTTGGAGAACTCCAGCTATTGTAATCACATCTACTTCTGGACGAATGTCAGTAGAGAGACAACGAAACATATGGTCAGCATTGATAGACCTGAAGATGAAGAGTATGTCTAGTGACCAGTGGAGGTACATATTACACATGTTACACAAATGTTCTGCCGCCATGAGTTAACATGAACAGAATCATCCAACCGGAGAGATGATCAAAACATCCATGGTTCTCCCCTTTGAGGACTACTGACACACTGACTTGGACTAGCAAGCTGAAGTACTGTAAATGGAGCGAGCGCTGTGGCACAAGCCCTCCGTGATGCCTTTTCATGTTCCTGCTCCTTTCCTGCAGCTGTATCATGTCTTCGTCCATGGTGGTTTTCTCCAAGTCCACATCTCCCGCCAAGAGGGATCTTTCACAGGGAGGGTGCACCAGTGTACACACTTCAAATGGAAAATGCCCAGCATGCGCTGATCCAAACTCCGCAGTGTTCTATATACATCTCTGTTCAGAGCACCCTGCAAACCCTGCGCCGAGCACCCTTGCCACCTTTGCATTGTGGGAGGAGAAGCTCGCCTGGGAAAAGTCTCAAACAGGAAAAGTCTCAGGGATGAGATGCTTGCTCCGTTCGTAGTAAGGCCAGGAGCCCCTAGTAGCTTCTTGTTACTAGTAGCGATGCCAGGAGCCCCGAACGTAGCGTCCTTGCTCCGGGATCCCTTTCTCCATGTCCTTTCTGTGGCACCATCGGTCGGCTTCGGACCGTCCAGTCGCCGGAAGACGTGTCTTCCTCTCAAAGGTACTTCCAGTGATGGGAGGAAAAAGTCGTAATCAGCAGTTTGGGGCAAGTCAGCTTGGAGATGGAGGGCATCATCTCCTCGACGTGATGTTTTTTTCGTCTCCCTACCGTGTCCGACATGTGAGCTGGGATCAAAACCAGCTTCCAGGGGTTCTGACAGCCAAAGTATCCCCAGCATCATTGTTTGCGCGGCATTGACCCTCACTCAGCCCATTCGCCCTTTCGCCGACGCAGGGCGTTTGGGTCCAAGGAACAAAGGAGATCCGGCCGCCAAGAGCCCTGCAAAGAGAAGCAATGGACATCCAAAACGTTGGCTGCACAAACCAACTCGGAAACATTTTAAACATGTGTTGTTTTGGTTTGGGCATTGAAGAGAAGCATGTCAAAAGAGATCTAGCCGACCTCCCAAGAGTATATGTAAATGTAAAAAAGTGTGTCTATGTCACGTCTGTGTCTGCTCTGACACGTCTGTGTCCAACTTCGGAGCACCAAAGACGTCGAAGCTCCAAACTTCTCCAACACCATTTGGCTCGGGATCAAAAGCTAAACCCAAAATAGAATCCTGAGCATTCCTTAAACAGTGGTCCCAGGTTTTGACCCACCATTTCACAACTTCCACTCCAAATATGGCCTGAATCCAAAAGAGGCCACCAGAAACACGTCCTTTTGTGACTCCTTTCATCCCAAATCAAGGGGAAAAAACAGGGTTGTCAAGACGAACCTGACTGATCTATCAGTGGTCTACTGCTGACTTACACCCAAACATAAATTAAGAAAGTGCATACTGACTGAAGAAAGTCCGCCCGTAGCGAGTTCTTTGGGGGGGCTTGTGTTACTCAAATTGTCCGCACCCATCTGTCTCCATGCACCGATGGAATGAGCAAAGCAAGAATGGCTGCGTAACCGATTCATGTTTGACCCCTCAGCAGAGCTCACCATGCCTCATCATCTGCATCGATGCAAATGGGGTCTGCCGCCATCTGCAGGGATGCAAATTGTCTAATTGTTGCTACGGTGCCAATCTGCAGCACTGGATCCTTTTTGGGAGGGCAAAGGTTGTCATGGATCTTCTCAAGAATTGTCAGCCAACTGGAGATGCTCCACACTCCAGGCCATGGGGGAGAGCGTGTTTCTCTAATTTCAGGGGTGGACATTTCTCCCAAACGTGAAAACATGGGCCGCTGTGAAAACGACACCCACGTTTAAGACGGTGCCTCGCATTGAAGCCGTTGGACGATGGTTAGTTCACCAATTTCCCGCCATCGCCCACGAGACGGATCTTTCCCAAGCTCCAGGATCTTCATTCGGATGCGAAACACCTGTGACCCGAAAGGACCAGCAGCTAGTGAAGCTAGCAGCTCACTTCTCAAGATGGTCATCGGGAATTCCGACCTTCATTGATGGCTTCAAAGGATTTCATGAAGCAACTCATGTGATGGAAAGTTGTGGTCCTGTCATGCGTGTTTCGCAACGCGCACCACCCCGCGCGTTGGCTCATCTGCCTTTGAAGGTGGCACCCATCAGCAAAGCGGCGACCGGTTTTACCCGCAAAGTCTGGCTGTGAGCAAGTCTGAACACAATCACAGATCGGCCTAGGAAAACAATGTCTAGTGTTAGTCCTTAGGATCTTTTTTCACCTCGCGGTTTTCACGATGTTCGGTGCTGCACTCATGCTTCCGTGCTGCAAAACGCTGGAGCAAGAGAGCGGCACCGGTCTCCGAGTCCTGAAGAACTGCGTTGGGCGATGTTGTGAACATCGGCGGTTGACACAAAAAAAGGCGTACACAGCTTCATCAGGGGTACAGTACCCCATCTGCCCGTAAAAGGTCCTTCCAAGGTTCTGAGAAACACAAATACTTCAAGCACCTTCAAAACACAAGTTGATACATTCACTTCACATCCAAAAGATCAAGAGAGTCGTTCTCAGACAAGGCCACTGGTTTACACCGAACACTCCTCAAAATGGTTTCTTTGGCCGATTTGACACATGACTGCGGGTCAAGACTCGGTGTGCCCAACAAAGGAAACGAACGGAGCAGAATGAAGCGTCTGGTGAGTCATTCCATGAGGGTGGGCCCTCTCGGTGAGGCTCCAAAGAGGTGGTCAGGATCGCTCCTTTTCGCTCAGTGCTCGTGAAGCGCTTGCAGTCACCGCACGGCGCATTTACAAAATAAGCGGCCCTTCAGGCGCTTCCAGGTGTCTGTCAGGCGGAAAAAGGGCGAAACGTGTGATTATCCACGTGCCCAAAGACCTTCCAGAGTTCTCTCGAACGCACTTGACATGCTTGGCCTTTGGCCAGAATCGTCAATCATTCCATGTGTTACTGCTTGGAAACCAACGACCGAGGATTCTTGTGACTTTCATCTTCAAATTGTTGAAGGTAAGTGGTCTTTGTGGTGAGGTTGCAGAAAATATGATCATGAGCCTCCCCAGCAGCAATCCTAGCAAATCATCAAAGCCCCCTCGGCACAAGTTGGCAACAAACAGGCCCAGATTAAGGTCAGTCTGCTTTAGGAGTCGTCTTCCTCCTCAGCATCATCCTGCTCGTTGGGAAGCACCACCTCAGGACTTCAATCTTTGCGGGCCAGTCAATCAAGATGTCCATCTTTCTGGTCGGCATGGTGTGTGGGGGGGCGGTCGGTAGGCCTATGGTAGACATATTGTAGCCCCAGGATTACTGTTCTCCGTGGGACATCTGTATGCTGGTCGGGGAAAGCAACAAATGACAAATGGATTGGTGACCCTACATTATTTCATGGAAGGCATGAAGGATGCAGGAGGTCACCACCATGAATGAAAACAGATCGGATTTTTGTGCGCGACACTATACTGTGCAAACTGTTTGATGCCCTTTGTTCATCAAGTCTTGCAAGGGGAAGTAGACCACTAAGGTGACAAATCTTCCACGGGCCCTCGTAAATTTTCTTCAGAAGTCATGCAACATGGTTAAGATGATGAAGGGTTCATGTCGACTTCATGGTGCTGTTGTAGTGTTTGTTTGAGAGTCAACAAGTGATGATGCACACTCCAAGAAACAATTATCACCCTCCAATTACAAGGAGCTTCTTTGCCACTGCAATGGCACGGGCAAACACCCGATGCTCCGCGCACCGAAATATCAATGACAAAAACACATGAATTTCATACTGAGCTGCTACTCCTGTGTTGGCATGGCATCTCGTGAATTTGCTCTTCACGGGGGCGAATGTTTTCCTACAAAACATTGTTGTGATAACGCAAACATACCATAACATGAAATAGTAGCAATGATGTCCCTGAGCTTGCAGTTCTTATCATGGCTTTTCTGCAACTGCTTCCTGCCAATTATTTCCTATCGTAAAACCTTTTGAGAGGCATTTCGTAAGCAACGCCTTTCCGCGGAAGAAGACATTGTGAAAGTTCAGTCCAAGTGTTGAACTGTGTTGGCAAAAGCTGTGAACTTTATGTCCGTTGGCGCTATCTCTGTTGAGTTTCAGCATGAGCGCTCATCTGCACAGGGATCAGCCCCTGTAATTCTACAGCCATTGGCTTTTTGACTTGCGCTCACTGTTGAACATACGTCAAAACAACTGTTGGCTCCCTGCGCAGCCACAAGGCTTGTTCACGATGCGGCTGGTGGTGAAGACCCTGCTGCCACATTATCTGTCATTCGGTCATTGAAGTTTGGGCTTTATCAAGCTGCCCCCCCATGAATCATTCTGATCATGAGTCCATCTGTCCATCGGGATCATCGTTATTCCATTCCAATGTCTTACGGTTAGGCATTGGTGTCTGCCAAGTCTTGCTAAGCCATCGAAATTGGGTTCCGTGAAGACGTTGCGATGTCTTAGGCCCGTGAACCTTGGCACCGTTTGGACGAAAGCTTTGACCTTTGGACCAAATTGGACGCCGTCCGATCGGACGGACGTACTAGCGTTGTGAAGAGGTGCTTCAGTTTCTGTTGGTCTGCCGTTTGTTGCTGTCCTGCTGAACGCTCTTTTAGTGTAAGGTGTGTTGTTCCGTTTCGGCCGTTGCCTTGGGCGCACTTTTACCTCACCCAGGATTCCTTCTCTGAAAAGCTCTGTGCTGCAGCTGCCTGCCAGACCAATCAAAGTAGTCACCTCTTTTTCAATGTCCTGCCAGGCGATGTTGCCCACGCCTTTGTCTGCTGGATGGCGTCGTTGAGTTGACATGTCTCCTGTTCCCGACTTGCAAGCGCGAGCGTCGGGAGAGGTCTGACGAAACAGAAAAGAGGCGCTAATGTATAGATATCATCAGTGAGTGTCCTTGCCATCTTGTGTGTGACCTGTGTGCGCTCGTTTGCAACAATTCGTGCTCGGACATTGGTTGCGCTTCTGTCGAAGGGCCCATCATGACTTGATGACCTTACTTTCCCGGCGTTTCATGGAGCACCCGTGGCTCTTAGCACTCCGTTCTCGTTGCTTCCTTTTGCGTCTTTGCCGGTGGCTCCTCGGTGGTCCGCGCCGTGAAGCCGACAGGAAAACAACATTGGGGGGCGCTACTCTTGAGGTCAAGCCCTCTGCCTGTGTCATGTGCATGCGCTGCCTGCCTCTTTCTTTCCTGAACTTGCTATGTTTATTACCAAAGTGCTCTTGCTTGCTTGTATGTTTGTTGTGTTGGAGCTCGGCTGGATGTTTCCAGGATCGCTGCTCAGCTACCATGGAAAGTTCAATCCAAGGCCCGGAACTGTGTTGGCAAAAACTGTGCACTTTATGCATGTTGGCGTTATCTTAATTGAGCTTCAGCTTGAGCTCAGGGTGTTGTGCAGAGATCCGGATCTTTACATACTACAGATGTCTTCAAAGACCAAGAGATCGGCATCTGTGCGGACTCGCCACAGTGTTCTTCCGGCTCACCACGCTCCAGTGGCTCACCCGCCTCAGCCCCAACCGCCGACTGCGTTTCGACTCCGCGGATTCAATCTCCTCGCAGCCCAGGCGTTGGCAGAAGCCTCGCAGAAACAGCGAGGAGAAACTGTCCAACAAAGCCTCGCTGTCTATCCCGGTCCCATTTTTCTTCGTTCGCCGCTGCCGAAAAAGAAACTTCTGTCGTCAGCTTTCCCCAAAGCAAAAATCTGACTCCTTTCTGCAGCAAGTGCTCTTTTCAACCCTCTTTACTAAGTTCCCCCCCGATTCTTCTCACCAAATGCATCCACACCATCAACCGTCGGACCTGCCCCCTTCTCTTGCCTGCAGAGAAAACGATGAAAATCAATGCGGACAAAAACGTCGAGACCATGAAGGGGAAAAAGGCACTCACATGCTCGAAGAGAAATGGGCCCAGAAAGCTGAAGATGCAACCGCCAATTGCTTCGGCATTCTTGCCTTGGCCCAGCAGGTTCTGACCGTTCTTTGAACGGTGCGTCAAGCACAGTGCTTTCAGATTGCAGGCTCTAACAACGCAGGTCGACGCAATCTATGTACATGGTTCTATCTATATCTATCTGTACCAAACCGTTTCAAAAACTCTCAATACTGCTTCAACAACGTCACACAGACACGAGCGCGGCACCTAGAACTGGCTTTGTTGCGCCGCAAGACCCCGGCAACCCAGTCGAAAGCGAAGGCGGGGTAGGATCACGCAAGCGACTGGACTCTGCTTTTGATACACTTTTCTTGGCCTTACTGTACCAACTCCACCCGCGGCTCGACCACTGGTGACTCCGTGTCATCAATGTGTGTGTGTGTGCGCACCTTGGGATCACAGGCAGTCAATATAGCACGGGGTTGCAGCAGGAACGAGAGTCTGCCATCAACGAAGACACTCTCGATTTCCTGGTGATACTGGGACTGAACATCCCAGTGTACCTGCATGGTGGCTGGAGAATATCTGATTGGTCCTTGCTTGCTAATAGAACAAGACTTTGTCCATTACACTGGTTTTGCAGGAAAGGGCGAGTGAGTTTTGCAGACTTGCGCTCTTCAATTTTGATCGTTCGTCCAATTAAAATGTTTGAGTCTTTTGGACTTTGGAACTCTTCACGACCCCTTGAACTTTGGAGCTTTTGGAGCCTCTTCGAAGCTTGTTGACCTTCGTGACTTTCCTGAACTTGAAGGTGATTGGACTCCGCTGCATCACTTATAGAGATTTCCCTTTACACCGCAGGACACGTGGCATTCAGACCGTACATACTAAATCTCAAGTGAGTGTGTGCGTGTGTCTGTGTCTGTGGGAAAAGTGGGCTGAAGGGGATCTTCTAGGTTTGGAGGGGTTACGGAGGAACTGCTTCCTAGCACTACTTCTCTGGCGTCGAACGCACAGTTTGGATGCTGACATCGCACGTGATCCCAAGTGTTGTTGTGGCTCGACGCCAAGCAAACATAGAAGAGGGCTTGAGTCAGGCAAGGTGTCTTGGAGATGTGTCTCAGACGTATCTCGAAGACAAAGAGAACGGCCTAGGAAGGAGAAACGTTTTAATCTCATCATATCTGTGTGACATCTGACCGTGCTAGGTCACAAATAGATTGCATATCAAAGTCGCGTTACGTGCAATCCAGGTATGAACCTCTATAGACTCCATACGTGATGGCTCGCAGCTGAGAAGATCGTTTGAGGTTCTATGCCTATCATTCGGTGGTGGGCAGTGGCATAACAATGTTGGCATCGCCGGAGCTCTGTTGCTTTCCATTATCTCTCAGGCTCGGTTCGGTGGGAAAAATTGTTGACAGTGTGGTCACGTTATGGGGGCGCAAGCCTCTGCTTAAGGTGCAGAAGTCTGCAAAGGCTCTGCAAAACCACTTTAGATGTCAGCAAGATTCCAACAAACAAAATGCATACAAATGCATTCCTGCCAAGCAGCCTGCACTGCCGTCCCAGCTTAAGCAAAGACATCTGACATGAGATTGTCAAAGCCAATTGAGGAACCGGAGTCTTCTTAAGCTCCATGCGCCGAGTTTTTTATGTGTGGGGTCAACAAGTTGGCTGGTGCTGTGGTGGTTTGGGGAAAGCATGAGAACTCGAAAAAATGGTTTAGTGATGATTGCGCGCGTCGTCAATGACAAAGATTCTCAAGGCAGCAACACTTTGGGCTCCTCATTACAGAAGCTCGAAGATCTCCTTTTTGTTTACTTCCCAAAATCTCAAACAGTTTCCACGTTGCCAAGTTCAATCAAAGCTGCAATTGACCTGAAGCTTCAGGAAGACGGCAGTATCCCCCATGGAGTAGAAGAGGTTTAGGTCTGTGCTCATCTTCATGGTGTAGACAAAAACCGTGCCCATGATGATCTGCGCCGTGACCGCAACAGGCAACAAAGGGCTGATCATGCCCAAATTGCAGAGCGTCCAGCAGAACAGGAGGCAGGCTAGATTGTATGGTTGCATTGTGATGCGGCGCAGCCAGCCCACATTCTCGGCCTCTTCCATTTCCAGGGGATCAACCAAAGAAAAAGCTGAATGAATCTTGAGGGATGCAAGATCAATGATGGTGGCAACAGCAGTTTGCAGAGGGTTTGCAGAAATAGTTCAGCCTGCATTTATACTTCATTCTAAAAATTGCACATCTTGCACTCCTTTCACTTTGAGCTTCATGATCCCCCTCCTATGCTCCAAAAGCTGGAAACCTACGGATCAAACCCCTGAAAACCTCAGTTGACCCCCAAGATTGACAGAATTGAGCAAGGAATGATAATGTTGAGCTAATGAAATAACCAGTTAGTCAATTCATTGATTGATTGATTTTAATTGTGCGTTGATTAGTAGATGAATTGTTGTTGTTTTTTTGCTATTTTACCTGGTGTCTATTAGTGTCTACTTTTTGCTTACTCGGTATTGTAACAGTCCAGTGAACTTGGGCGGGTAACGGAGAAATGAGGGAGAGGCTGAGGCCTAGCAACTAGCACATGAATCAGAGGGAAATCTCTTGCAGCAAGACCATTTTCTTGGGTGTTTTGTATTGAACCATACCCATTTGTTCCCTGTTGGGCCCAATTTCAACCAATCCGCGCCATGTGCCAAAAGTCCACGAGACAGAACCTGAATTGTTGCCCTTTTCTACCTGTCATTGGGCAAGGAAAAAGCCGGGGCCCACTAAGAATCATGGGATATGCCTTCCAGACTATAATAAGTGATAGACACGTCGGATGTAAAGGTTTAGCCCTGCTTTGGAGGACCTCGTCCACGTTGTTCCTCAAGACCTTCATCATGACCGCTGCCACCAAATCTCCGCTGGTCTGCGCCAGGCTCGCCCAAGTCGCAGCCTCCCACCCGTGAAACTCCTCGTCAAAAAGGCAACACTGACATGGTGGGAATTAAACAGCATTCAAGGCTTGCGGTTGAGACTACTCCCCTCCTGATGAGTTCATCACCGGGAAAGTGCTGGTTGGTCCAACTGAAAAGGCGCGCCCCACTCTTCGACCAGTGTGTGTGTGTGTGTGTGGCGAAAGTCGATTTATCAGTGCGGAATGATCCATGGGCCTGTGTGGGGTCAGTCAACTTAGTTGCTGTGCTAAGTGTTCCATCACGTCCAGCAGGAGGCCAGACTCTGTGACAGCAAGCAAAAATCCAGCAGCCCTTGCTGCCACGTGAGCATCCTTGGCCGATTCCTTGTGGGTGCTGCGCACGCTACTCTGCCAAGGTTGAAGAGAATGCCAAGGGGCTAAAAAGAGTTCTGGCCCAGCGCAGCCGAAATCCTGCGAGCCTCAACTTGCCGCTCCCTTCTTCTGATGTTTCTGTCAGCTTGGGAGGCAAAGTACTTGGCCAAGGCCTCCTCTTTGACTGCGCACACCGTGGCCTTGCATCTGGATTTCCAGGTGGCACGCATCCTTTTGACTGTGAAGCGCTCTCTGTTGAGCCGATGTCTCCCCACTTGCTCTGCCCTTGGCAGTTCCGGGCGGTCCCTGTCACCTGCATGCTTGCAGCTGCAAATGTCTCGACCATGGGGCATTGCGCTGCAGCCTCGCAGCAAAAGTTTGTTTCAAGTACGGGGAAGTGATCACTTCTGCAAAAGGCATTCCACACGTGCGTCTGTGGAGCTTGCAGTTCCCGTCAATAGCTAGGATATCCCGCCTGTCTCTTGCGGCTTCCATCTGTGCCAGGCGCTGGCGTCAAGGGCGTGTGGCTAATGACACGACATTACAAACTGCGCCGCTATTACTAGGAAACACAAAGAGAGAGAGAGAGAGAGTGGGGGTCATTGAAAGCAATGAGAACAGCAGGCGAACGTGCCATTCTTGAACATTAAAAAGAGGCGCCAGCCCGCCTTGCAAACATCAGTGGCTCGTACCAGGCCCAATTGCTTGCAATCAGCGTCTCAATCGACGCATTCAAGACATTCTTGCACCAGCCGTCAGACACAGCGGTGCCAGCTTCAACAGCTCGCCGGCAAAGGATCTCCCGGACCCAACCGTCTCTGAGCTGATGGCGGATGTGGTCTATAACGGACGTTGGTGTTTGTAAGTCGCAGCACCACCCTTCACCCTGAAAGCTGGCTCAACCCTTGTTTAAGCGGCAGGCATGCGGCCATCACGCAAACGCATGCCAACGAAGCTATGCGTGCTGGTGGAAGCCAGGTCTGATCAACCTGGTGTACCTGCTTTTGAACTTTTGAACAAGCTGTGACACAGCCACTTTGGCAGGGCGTACGAGGCCGCAGCGGCCGAAGCTTGTTCACACAGCGTTCACATGTAAACGAGGTCTGCCCAGGTGTTTCTTATGAGGCTTGGCTTCATCGTTTCTCGTCCCCTCCATTTGCTTCCCTGTTCATCCTTTTCCCCTTCACATACATCTGTTTTCCTCCTTTCTTTCATGTCTTCCTGTCTTCATGTCTTTTCATCTCGTCTCTTTTCTTCTTTTGCGCACACATGGCCGGGCCCCTAGAGTGTTCGTGCGCAACCTACCTCAACACAGGTTTTAGGTCGCCCAGGTCTGTACAATGAGGTGGGCTTTCACCGGTTGTCCCTGTGCACTTGGTTCCCTTTCATTGCAACCACACACACACCTTTGTCCCGTCTTGTCCTCTTCTCATGTCTTCATTCGTTTGTCTTACTGCGCACACACGTACACCATCGCCTACACCTTAGAGTTTCCCGCCTCCCCTCTGGAGGCGTGTGTGTGTGTGTGTGTAACCTTTTGGAATGTTTTCCTGTTTAAGCAGGGGGCATGCGGCCATCACGCAAACGCATGCCAATGAAGCTACGCGTGATGGTGGAAGCCAGGTCTGATCAACCTTGTGCACCTACAAGCTGTGACACCACTCCCAGTAAAGGTCTACTGCACTCTGCAGATGTGAGCGGACGCCGTCATTTCGCCTTGTCGTCGTTTCGCTTCTTTGGTTTTGGTTTTGGCCTCCTAATGACTAGAGCTGCTGAGGCCTCCTGTACCTGACTTTTCAGGATTCTGGTTTCTTAGGTTGCCGTGTGGCGAGTGGCATTCGAGTCAGTACGCATTTCTATAAGTGTGTGTGTGAGCCTTCCAAGACTTTCCACGACTTACCGGGTCATCAATATTCTTGACATACTTTATGTCTAGTCTATCTTATTAGCCAAGAATATTAATGGTGAATCCACCTTGTGACACCTTCACCATTAATGTTGGTTTATGTTTTTTTTCTTTTCGTCTACTGAAATGAATGATAGATCCTGGAGAAGTCAACAAGGGCCTTTTTCATTTTAGAAGAATGAGTTTATAGCCAGCATGAGAAATCAACCCGGCTGACAACCCGAATTGTTTGTTGCATTGTTTTTTCACATATCGAATATGGAATACCATGTTCCGCAAAAACCAAGATATGTTTAGATGCGATCGCTTAGTTTTCATGTCAAGTTACAAAATCAAGATCAATATCCAAGCAGAATGTACGATTCATAGACCACGAAGCACTTACTTACGATGGTCAGATTTTATGTTTAAGTGCCTGCGCATAGTTTATGCCTCAAGAACCAAGTCAATACAGCACACCAAGAGATTCGCACCAAGGAAAAAAGGGTCTACACAATTGTTATTCGGCCATAGAATGAAAAGCATATATACACAGATGACAACAAAATAGATATTGTCACCAAACGAGGTAGCTGCATTTTAAGGGCAAACACAGAATTAAAACTCGAAAGGTGCAATGAACGCAGTTGTAAAAAAAGAACGTACTTGATTGAGGATCGGCACGAGGAAGATGGTGTTTTGGACGCACAAGCGCATAATTCCAACAAAAGCACGCAAGTTGAACAAATATTCGCAAGCAAAGAGGAGGTTTTTCAACAGAACGCAAAACATATACTACAGCTAAGCAGCGAATGTACACGAACGATGCAAGAAACGCAGTGTCAAGCAAGCATTTTTGGATGTCGAAAACGGTGTTCCACCAAACCCAAAAACATTTTGAGATGCAATCACATAGTTTATACCAAAAAGAAAACCAAAGAAGCTCGGTGTCCAAACAGAAGCTAACTTTCATAGACCACTAGACCACGAAGCACTTAAGAAATGTTCGCCGATTGCAGAAACGTATGTTCAAGTGCCCGCACACGATTTATTCATCCGAACAACATACTCAGCGCAAAAGACTGGTAAAGCGTAAAGCATATATCTTCTCCCAAAAAAACACCAATCATGATAAGTGTTTCCACGCAGACAAATAATGAGACGTTTCAAACCCTACCAAAGAATACCGGATATCAATTTGAACAAATGACGACAACAATACTACCAAAGGAGTTGGACGGACGCGTAACAAGCAAAGCAGTTCTTTACATGTTGACACATATTTTGCCACCAAAAAAGCAGCGTTTGGAAAATATACATTCAAGCGCAAATTGACGTTTCAAGCGCGAGCGCGCAATGCGCATTAAGTGTATGAACCTTATTTCCAATAGTATTCATCTCCGTGTTTTACAGAAAGGGACAAATAATTCATTGTCAAAGACTAAAGGGCAGATAATACTGTTCCAACTTGGATGCCACAGGGAAGAGACAAATAGGCCCGACCACGACTGTCTTCACCTATCTCCTACTTCATCAAAAATATTGGCAACAAAATCAACAACAATAACACGTTGATGTGGGAAGAGCGTACAAAGGATATCGTTATATTGGAGGGTTTTTTGTTCTTTCTCTTTCTCCAAATCAAACGGTGCAGACAGAAGGACCAAAAGAGTCAAACAAGGTCATCCAATGTTTCCTTTTTGGTAATCACTAGTTGTTAACTGTTAAGGGAACTTAATGGAAAGAAGCCAAAAATACAACTTGAAAAAGTACAGGCAAGATTTTGCAGTTAATCTGGTAGGCATTAATGTTTAAATGAGGGATTCGTTCTTTTCGCTGCACGTTCTGAAATGACCCGGGAAACCCCAAATATGGAAGATCGTTTGACTTCAATCCAGCTGGTTGGTGCTGGCAGTCTTTGAAAAGGAGTGTACGATCCAAAGTACGAGGGTTCACTTCCCTTGCGCCCTTGCGGCCCTTGCGTTCGCACTCGACCTCGCTGGTCGAATCCTCTCCTTAAAGAAAATGGCGAAGGTCGCGAACTCGAGGACGTACACAGCGGTGTTGTTGAAGCAGCAAAGCACGATCAAGAATGAAGGCGTTCGGATATCCTTCCCACAGTCCAAATGGATCATGATCTTGCTTGGGGTTCATTCCAAAAAAGTTTTGTCGTTCGAAGAAAATGGTCATCCCAAAATTGGAGTTGCCAGCATCATATACATCAAATGCATATCAATTGGAGGTGACCCTGTCAACTCGAGCAATCTCTCGCAGTCTAGGCACCAAGGCCCCGAAAACTATCACTTTCGACGCAAAAGTGTGTGAAGCTGTCACTGAACCTATTTGAACCAATCACTCAATCACTTTGTTTCACCAAGTCATCATAATTTCGGCCTGCCTTGGGAATGCCTTTGGGTTTGGGCTCATCCTCCACATTGTCATCTTCCTCAACTTCGGCTGGCCCTCCGGCCCGTCGGGCAATGGCAGGGCGTAGAGCGCTGTGGGCGCCAAAGTGATATTGGAAGTCGTCCGAGTCCTGAAAGGGGCGAGCAAATGTCCGGAGATCTGCACATGTAAGCTACAGGTTTGACATAAAGTCCTAGGTCCATGAACCAGTGGAGTAGACCCTCCAGCCTCCTCCCCCTTTCTGTCCTTAAAACTGGTCAACGCGGTCATGCGCGACAGGACGGTCCCCTGTGTCTTGCTGGTCCCCCGGGTCATCTGAGAGCGAGCAGTCAAGGCTGTGCGGATGGTACGGGCTGACTTCCCGGTGAGCACTGTGCCACGTGTCATGCCGGTCACACGAGTCCCCATGGTCATCTGAGTCCTTCTGGTGGCAATGGATGCACGGGATGCACGGGTTCCTTCGCCATGGCTTCCCTGTGCGTCCAAAGTCCTTCTTCCATGGCTTCCCTGTGAGTCTTGTGTCTTTCTGCCACTGCTTTCACCAGAGTCATGGCTCTTTCTGGCACTGCCTACTGAGTCTTCGGTCTTGGCTCTTGGGCGGCTTCCACTAGAGTCATGGCTGCTTCCCTGTGAGTCTTGGCTCTTTCTGCCTACTACTACCACTGAGGCCTTGGTTCCTCTGTTGGAGCTAATCTTTCTGCGTTTCGGATTGTAAAACTGGACTAGGGCCTCATTCTTCACTGCTCCTGGCAGATCATACTCGTCGATATCCTCAAGCTGCAAATCATCTTGCGTAGATCCAGACGGCTCCGTTGGAACAACTGGAAGGGCTGCCTCCGTGTGACTTTCCTGCAGATCAACTGGTGAATGCTGGCTTTGGTGGGATTTGTATCGTAACACATCAACCCCAACAACTTACCCTGACTCCTCTTCGTCCTTGGAACGCGCTTTGAAAAAGAACTCCCTGAAGGACCGCCACACCACCGGTTGGGTTGCAAATAGGAGCAACATCCCCGACTGACAGATCACGTGGAAGACCGACATGCCTTTCCACCCGAAACCATCATAGATGATACCTCCGATGGTCACCGCGCTGGCAATCGCAATGGTAAAGACCGCCAGCACTGTGGAGGACGCTTGCCGTGCCTGCTCTTCGGACAGCCCAAAGACATCAAATGCGATGCCTGGCAGGGTCACCACAGGCAACACTGACTCCAGAGCACTCGGAGATAGAGCAGCCTGATGGATGCTAAACCTTGCTAACCACTACCTTCACTACCTATCCTGTTTGTCGGTTCCCAAGCAACATGCAAACTGGCTCTGAAGAATGGGAATTGTCACTACTTCAATCCACAAGAGCCCACCTTCGACAGTGATACTAGGGTCCAACGCTTGCATGACCGCTATCTCCAAGGCCACAGCCCACTCCTCTATTGCGCGCTGAGTTCGATGAGCTCCCAAGCAATAACACTTATTATATAATCACAGGTGCGGGCCTAGCTAATCAAAAGGGCCAGAATGCCCCTCACATCTGATAGATTCTCAGGTTATTTCCTTCATGAAACACAGGCGTCTTGCAGCCGTCAACCCACCCACTCAGGGTTTGTCCTCTGTGGTGTAGATCATGCCCACGATCGCAGTGCCCAGGTGAAAGATTGCTAAAGGCACGGAGACCCAAAAGCCTCGCGGCACAGGTGGAGTCATCAGGTCCGGTGAATCGATCTGTTCCAAAATCCATCAACAAAAATCTGTGAAAGCAGTAGTTGCACGTGAAAACTCCCCACGTCACATTCACATCGCAGATTCTTATGGGTGTTCTTTTGAAGATGTCCGACCTTGTTTGGGAAGGAAGCAGCGCTGAGTTGGACGTGAATCGTGCTGCGTATCTAAGCGCGTCTGTGATTTTCGGTGGATCTGAAAGTGCGATTCGAGGGATTCTGGGGTGACAACATGGTTTAACTAGTCAAAGAAACTGCTTCCTGCCCCAGCTGGACATCCCGTGAAGTCGCACGCCCAAGTCTGAATTGATGAAGTGAAAACGGGGATTGAATAAGTGAGTACAGGACGGTTTGGTTCTGGCGTGCATTGGAACCGCCCAAGATCCCTTACTGAATGGTTACTTGTTGGGAAGCCCATTACCAGAACCTCGGTGTCAAGATATGAAAGGCTTCTGCAGCGAATCAGGGCAAAGAGGAATGATGAATGGTGCTTTGGGCAGGAAGTATTCCTTGACTTGTACTTACGCACGAGGGAGATGGATCTTTTCGTTGCAAGTGGGGATGGGTCGCCAATCCTGGTTTTTATTCCTCGGCAACCGCAAAGAAAGGAACCCATCAGAAAATGTCATCATAACTCCATTGTTTAAGAAAAAGAACACGCGTTCACAAGTTCTTAGTGCAGTTGTCAATAGTTCACGGTTTCTCTGATCAAACTTTTTTGACATGCACAGCAGAAAACAGAGAAAGAAATACGCTTCTTGTTACTACTAGTAAGGCACTTGTTCCTAGTAGCGTGGCACTTGTTACTAGTAGCGAACATTGTTACTATGTTCCAAGGGAACTTGTGTCACGAAACCCGTGATCGTCAGATATCCGTGGCCCAGCCTGCTCGCATCTGGACTTGCTGAAAAACAAGGCGCAAGGCAAAGCCAATCATGCACGGCCAGCCAACGTTTGTTAAGGGCCAACCCATCTCTACATAATGAAGAGAAAGGCCAGACCACGAATAGCCATTAATCAGGCCATTGAACGTGGGCAAAAGGATGCAAACAAAAAAGTAGTTGAATGACCATCCCAGATCCTCATAATCATCGAAGTCATCATCAAACTCGACCTCCTCTGGGTCATCCTTCTTCTCCACCATGGTAGCATCACTGCCGCATTAATGTAAAATGTAAAGGGAGAGAAGTTCAGAGAAGGGCTTAAAATGACATGTTATATATCTTCCGTTCACAATTAGATTCTTCAAACAAATCTACAGATTCAAAATGATTCAAGGATTCAATAAAATGACCTTTCGAAAAGGGGTGTGTTGGAGGTTGGTTGATGTTTATTTTGTTTCAAGGAGCAACTATTGTGGCCAATCCAGATTGTTCATGGCTCCTAAGGGCACAGAAAGGACTGAATAGCCAAACGAATCGTCGGATTCTACGATCACGTGTGGTCCTAGATCCCATGGCAGTCATCCTTAAAAACTGCAAAAAAATAAACATACGTCTGGCTTTGCTCAGGGTGGTGACCCGGTGGTGACCCGATGGTGACCCTTTGACAAGGTGCACATTCCTGTGACCAAATCCCGCGAGGCTTTTGATCGCAACATTGCTTGGTGTCTTCTGTAAGTCGTCCGGAAAAAAATGGAATGAGGTGGAACGAGCCGGCCCCTTTGGGCTTTGCTTTAAGCAGAACGTGATCAGAGTGTCTCGAAAGAGTTGCACCTGTTCCACACGGACGTGTACTACGGTTGATGGACAAAATCCTGCACCACTTTGTGTCCGTGCGTTCCTGCCCTCGTGCTCCCTCTTTAACATTGGGCCGACGCTCGTCCGAAAACGAGAAAAAGTTGAAAGTCCGAAATCCACCTACTGCGACCTATAGTGCCAACATTGAATGGGGGGGGCATGGGGATTGCTCTATAACCCTTGTCAAGTGTCTTGGTCTGGTGGTGCAGGATTTCGTACATCAACAGTAGTACAACTATATAAAGGAAAAATGCAAAATTTAACTCCTTTGCAATCACCTCACCACCCCGAATCCGAAGTTGAGAATCAACCCTCAATCTGCGCCCAGCTTCATGGCAAGCTCCATGAGCCACTCACATTTGGAAGTGGAAACGGATTCTCCTCTACACATGCTGCACGTATCCTGAACCCATTGGATGCTCAGCCCATCCTCACCACAGGCATCGGTTCATGTAGACTGTTTAATTAATGAAGTGAAAGGAAGGTGAGTGAATGAAATTATGAAGGGATTTCTCATATAATTTCATTCAGCATAGGAGGGTCCAACTGCAGGAAAGAACTGGAAGGTGAATGACAGCGGTGAAGGGGCCCATCTGTCTCTTCCCTGTGGCATCGGCTGTGGAAAGAGCCCTCACGATGGACTCGATGGGGTCATTTCCTTTTGCCCCTTCATTCTTCCATCTTGATTGAAATGCGTGGCAAAAGGCGGACAAGAGGAACAAAAGTGAATGATAGATTTGTTTGTTCTTCTGATATAATTCAATGAAAAAATGGAGCGAAATAATCGAGAATGCACAATAGTAAAAAGAGACAAATGAGTTTATGGCAGCCATTTCATTAATCCTTTGTTGGTCTCCTGCAGCATTATAAAATAAATGGCTGCCATCATATCTTTCACTGCTGTTGCTTAATAAAGGATAAAAATAAAAATAAAAGCCCCATACGAGAGGTTTTACAATCCAAATGAAAGTGTTGTTCCCCATCATAGCTTGGGGTCGTACACTCTTTAGGCGGCCACGGCCGCCAGCCAGGGCGGTGGTGTCCCGGTGTCTCGGTTATGTTTAGCTGGTGTCTCGGTCATGTTTCGGTGTCTTGCTCACGCTTGGGTGATGTGCCGGTGGTGTATCGGTTCTGTGTTGGTGGTTCCCTGGTATTTTGGTTGTACTCGCTTATGCTGTGGTTGTGTCTCGCTGCCCATGTGAGAATGACAACCACGTTTAAGACGGTGCCTCGCATTGAAGCCGTTGGACGATGGTTAGTTCACCAATTTCCCGCCATCGTCCACGAGACGGATCTTTCCCAAGCTCCAGGATCTTCATTCGGATGCGAAACACCTGTGACCCGAAAGGACCAGCAGCTAGTGGAGCTAGCAGCTCACTTCTCAAGATGGTCATCGGGAATTCCGACCTTCATTGATGGCTTCAAAGGATTTCATGAAGCAACTCATGTGATGGAAAGTTGTGCTCCTGTCATGCGCGTTGCGCAACGCGCACCACCTCGCGCGTTGCGCCATTCGCACGGCTCATCTGCCTTTGAAGGTTGCACCCATCAGCAAAGCGGTGACCGGTTTCACCCGAAAAGTCTGTGACCCGCTGTGAGCAAGTCTGAGCACTACCACAGATCGGCCTAGGAAACAATGTCTGGCGTTGGTCCTTAAAATCCTTTTTCACCTCGCGGCTTTCACGATGTTCGGTGGTTGACACAAAAGAAGGAGCGTACACAGCTTCGTCAGGGGTACAGTACCCCATCTGCCCGCAAAAGGTCCTTCCAAGGTTCTGAGAAGCACAAATACTTCAAGCACCTTCAAAACACAAGTTGATACATTCACTTCACATCCAAAAGATCAAGAGAGTCGTTCTCAGACAAGGCCACTGGTTTACACCTAATGCTGAATACGTATCAAAAGGGTGTCTTCGGCCGATTTGACACATGACTGCGGGTCAGAACTCGGTGTGCCTAAAAAGGAAACTAGGAGCAGAATCTGGTGAGTCATTCCATGAGGGCCCTCTCGGTGAGGCTCCAAAGAGGTGGTCAGGATCGCTCCTTTTTGCCATCGCCACACGGCTTATGTAAAAATTAAAAAAAAAAAAAAAAAGCCGCCCTTCAGGCGCTCACAAGGTGTCTGTCAGGCGGAAAAACGGGACTTGTGTTACATCCCCGTGCCCCAAAGACATTGCTTGGCCTTTGGCCAGAATCGTCAATCATTAACCTGGTCCAATATGGCTGATAACGCTGTTCCATGTATTACTGTATTACTGATTGGAAACCAGAAACAAAGGATTCTTGTGACTTTCATCTTCAAAGGTGAGGTTTGCAGAAAAAAATAATGATCATGATTCTCCCCAAACTGGGCATCAAACCCTAGCAGCTCTAGCACAGGTTGCTGGCAACAAACACGCTCAGATTGAGGTCTGTCTGCTTCAGGAGCCATCTTCCTCCTCAGCATCATCCTGCCCGTCGGGAAGCACCACCTCAGGACTTCAATCTTTGCAGGCCAGTCAATCAAGATGTCCATCTTTCTGGTCGGCATGGTGTGTGG